CACACACACACACACACACACACACACACACGTTTCCACTTGCTGAGAGCCGATAGAGACTGCCAAGATTTTTGGTTGAAGAAAGAGAGGAAAGTGTTCTTTCATTGCGGCACTTAAAGAGGCAGCTGAGAATATTAAGCTTTGAAAAAGAAATTGAGTTAACTAGGTTAAGCTATTACCTTACACCCACTTATGCTTGCCTCATCACATTCTGCCACTCGCAAATGGCAGAAAAGAAGGGCACGCGATAGGCAAGACAAAGAGAAATCAGTGAGCGGCAACATGGGGGGGGGGGGGGGGAGAGAATCGACAGCAGGGAGATGCTTCTTCAGCCGGTGTAGTTCCCCCGGCTCCCCTGCAGGTGTCGCCCCAGGCAGCTATAGACTCAGAGAACAGAGCATGTTCGCAGCCCCCCTGCTGCGCAGCCTAGTCGATATATTTGCTGTAGCCGTGGGCTGGCGCTAATTGCATTTGACAGAGCAAAGGAATGAATTTGTGCCCAGCTTTGGCGGAGCTTAAGATAAAGAGCAGGGAATGTGCGGGCAGGAAAGGCTGCTGCCGTTTCCTCTCGCCCCTCTCTCTTCCTATCGACTATAATGCTCTTTAGGACAGCCTCCAGGCTGACAGAGTAATAATACACCAGCAGCTCTGCGTGTCTACCGGCTAGATAGCATTTGCATTAAGCCCAGGCCACATCACAGCTGTTCGGCTCTGTGTGGATGACACGTCTGCGTGTATTGCTAATGTACCTGTTTGATGGTGAAGTCGTTGATGAGGTGGTGGTTGTGTTCGTTCAGGTTGCAGTGCAGGGAGACGCAGTCGCTCTGGTAGAGCAGGTCCTGCAGGGTGTAGACGCGCTGGACGCCCAGCGAGCGCTCCAGGCCGTCCTGCAGGTAAGGGTCGTAGAAGATGACGTTGTAGCCGAAAACCTTGGCGCGCACCGCCACCGCCTGACCCGAACGACCTGAGGACACGCGGAGAAAGGGAATAATGTTTAGTTATGTGCAGTCAAACACAGGAGCAGAGAGGCAAACACATGACATCGACAATCCAGGTATATAGTTTGTGTTATCATCAAGAGAAAGGACCAGCAACTAATGCCACAACCTGCATTTATTAGGACTATAACGATTAAGATAATAACTCTGGCACATTTACTTTATCATGGGCACTGTTCCTGGTTCATCAATATTTTTGAGGGAGTACATCTGCATACATCGACACAAAAGATATAGACTAAATAGGAAATAAAGGTCTGTAAACGCATCATAATGGTTACTACTAAATGCATTAAACATCATTCCTGCTAAATACACTACGAGCATGAAAGAGTGAGTTATAAAAATAGTTTTAAGACACCATAAAATGAACATCAAACCAATAAAGCCATCCATCTTTAAGCAATTTCATTCACTTAGCACGTTAAGAGGTCTTTTTTTTTTTAATGTCTGCGAGAGCTTTGCTGTTGTCAGAAAGAAAATGGTTAAGGATGGCTAAGTGGTGGAGTCATGATGGAGAAATCGTTTTCTCAAAGAGAGGACAAAGTGAGGCAACTGGTTTCCAGTGGAGACTGTGAGACGGCGAACCAGCAGCATCTGAGGCTCTTCCACAGCCATGTGTTGTGTAGGCTGAGAGGCCGGCCCCTGCTCAGCAGCAGCAGCTGCTGGTGAACAGGATCGATAAAGTCCTTTACACTCTCAAAGTCCTCTCTTTGTGATGGAGCATTATGTCCTGCTCTTAGGCTTTCTCCTCTTTCAATCTCAGCCAATAAGAGACTCCTTAGAATACTTAAGCAATCACTCAGACCATTCTGTTCCATTATGGTGATGGGATTACAATCAACTTCTTGATTTCTGTAAAAATCCATCTCTCCCAAAGTGCTTGATGCACTTTTTCCTCAACTAGCCCCGTGTACTTCTGCTTCAGTTACTTTATTTCTTATATTTCACAGAATAACATTTGACAACACACGGCAAGCATAAACCTGTTGCATTCAGCTGCTGGTTGTAAGTGCAGACAGCAGCTGCAGCAGCACGGGAGTGAGTTTTTATGCTAGTTTGAATCAGACCAGGTCGTCTTGTGGCTGAAGCACAACCTGATTTGATGAGACACATCTCTGCTTCTTCTACAACGATTTTCTGCTCGTGTGGTCGATAGACAATTGTTGTAAAGTGGTGGATTTCGAGGGAAACAGCATCTCTTTGATTTCGAGAGATTTACAATAAAGTCTAGTGTTTACATCAGCAAGTATCTCTAATTCACAATTCTGTTCTGCAGCACTAGAAACTAAAACTATTAGTGTTTTTGTGTGGATTTTTCCTTTCATGTGGCGCTACCGCAGAATCAAAACAGTTTGTCTCCTCTTTTTGTATTTCTAAGCCTCCCTACATTCCCACACCGATCAATGCCACTAAAAGAGAGAATATATTCTGCCAGAGGGTCTGCCACACAACTTTGGGTGGCAGACATTTGCTTTGTGTTGCTCATTTGTCCACAGTCAAAGGACGAGGACGACACTCAAATGTGAGTTCCACAACACAAAGATTTGTGAAATCAACTCTTTCCCACCCGGTGGCGATGCTGCAGATGGGGGCGGTGATTGGTCAAGGCCATCTTGAAGGAAAGAATGCTGCTTGTGTAAAACAGTGTGCGTGTGTGTGTGTGTTTCATAAAAAAGGTAATGTGTGTGTAGCTGTCAGTCAAAAGATGGTTTGGTTTGGATCTTGTGCTGTCGCTGTGGATTTCTCCTGGACAGAATACGTCGGTGAAGGTCCTAACTATGCACCGACTAGAGCTTGTGTAAGTGGACCTTGGCTGAAGATTCTTTATAGTTTCAAATGTGAGAATATATAACCAATAGAAATCTGTAGAACGACAACATGATCAGGTCAAATCGACCAAACCCACTCGACTCGTATCTAAGTGCCAACTTCACCGCTCATGTTCAGGATGTTTACGTTTCTGCATTACTGCTTCTCTTCTTTGTCTTCTGATCACACATGTGTGCCATTAAGACTGATGAGCAGGTCTTTCTTTAAAATGTGTATGAAACGTGACGTAAAGGGAATTCTCATCGATAGCACAAAGCTAATCTAGGGAATAACAGCAAAATCAATTACAAATGAATGAATTCTGCAGCAGCACTTATTTTAAAAGTGTAAATGCCTGAAACATTGGCGTGGCTGGTACTTGAAGTACTCCTGAGTCTTTTGTCGCCCCAGAGCCAGATGTTTTTTTTCTCTATTCTGTGTGTTTGCAGCCTGCAGAGTTGTGCAGCTGGCTGAATGTGCAGAGTCCCACAAACAAACACCAGGAGGCCTTCGCTCTCCCCCACCTCCCGCTGACAATGGACATTGTTTTGGAGACGGCTTGAGCCAGAAAGACCGGGAGAGGAGGCTGGAGGTGGGAGGATTCGGTGAGAAAGAGACAGATTTGGGGGGAGGGGGGACATTCTCCCTGCCAGGTCCTGCTGTTTGGGCACAGTAAGTCTAGGAGGCTGTCTGGGACCTGTAGGGAGGGGGAGGATGTTGTGTTTTTGTGTGCGTGTGTGTGTGGGGGGGGACTGTATGTGGACACAGAGATAAGGTGTCCACATACACTCTGGAAAGGCTTTTGAGGAGACAAAGCTTCTGTGAGCCCACTAATGTGAATGATTCACAAACACACACAATCGGCATTATAACAGGTGCAGGGAGGGAAAACACAGTGCAACAAACACACAAACACACACACACACACACACACACACACACACACACACACACACACACACACACACAGAATCCGGTCTACCGTGAGGGGCCCGATTATGGCAGGGCAAGGTGTCGAGGGGCCGCAGTGACGGAGAGGAAGAGTCGGAAAACAGAAGAAGAGAGAATAATGGCGATATAATGGTGAGCATTAGAGCGGTGGGAAGAGAGAACAGTGTGGCGGAGAAGAGGAAGCCGGCCCGCAGGGAGGCGAAAGAGACAACCTTGAAATAATAATGGGACGGGCAGAGGCAGAAAAAAAATAACCTTATCAGGGCAGGAAAACAGAAAGCACACCGAGCGCTGAGAGGATATGAAAACACAGAACGGGGGGAAAGGAAAGGGAGCGACGAAAACAGAAATATGATGAAAGGTAAACCAACTACAGAATACATGATACTAACCAAAGCCGATGAGGCCAAGGGTTTCGCCACGGATGCGGGCGGCGCCGGACGCCACCTCGCGGATCTGTTCCACGCTCTGGACCCGCGTGCCCTCCCGGAGAGCCTGGTAGAGCCAGGTGTTTCGCCGGTAAAGGTTGAGGATGTGGCACAGGGTGGAGTCTGCCGTCTCCTCCACAGCTGCCGAGGGAATGTTACACACAGCAATGCCTGAAGAAAAGACGGTGAAGATTAATCAAGATCGTCAATGTTATAATTATAATAACAGTATATAATGAATAACTGAAAAGCCCGACTATCTACAATTATGAGCACATGCATAAGACAGCAAGTTTTAGACACTTTCTGTCAAGATATCCTCCAGCAGAACGCTCATAATTGTGTTACCTTCAGAGTCTTAGAGCCTCTGACCTTCTGGTATTACCTCGCCTATATCCTCCAACAACACAAAGATTTCCATTATCGCCACTTAAGCACTTCTGCCTGCCCTCGCTCTCCTCTAATGTCCTCATCCCACTCTGTATCTCAGAGTAACAGCACAGCCCGTCTCTGGACGGCGGAAAAAAATAGCCAGAGCTCGATCAATGGCCCCCTTTTTTTCTTCTCCCCGAGAACAGGCCGCCATATCAGCGCCGCCTTCTCCAGGCACGATAGCTTTTTAACTCCTGCGTTGCAGAGGCAGAGCGCCTTCCGTGAGTGGGTGGCAGTTAGACACAGTATCTCGTATTGGCAGGAAAATGGCAGCTTTGTCAACTGTAAGGGCTGTCTGAGCCACACGCCTGCTGATATAAGCCTGGGCGGTGGTTCACTCTCCGCTCTCTTCCCCATTTCTGTGTCTTTGAACATTCTGGCTCACAGTGGGATGTCCACCATTCATCTGAGTCTATAATTCAGCGCTTGATACCGTTCTGTAATAAAAAATAAAAAAACAAGGAAACGGTAAACATGCTGTCCCGGAGCAGTCCCCCTTTTTGGGCGAACTCACTCTCAACTGTGCGATCTTGTTCTGACTTCTACTGTGTCCCCCCCCCCCCCCCTCGCCGCAATTTTCGGCATACCACATCGTAGCGGCGTGAGGAAACACCCCCTCGACATTTACCTAAATCTGATTGCTGGTGGCCGAGGTTTCATACGTAACTAACAGAAGAACACTAGACACAATACAAGTAGTACACTGGTTATGTTCTAGCAGTGGTTGCGTGGGTTCGTACCCAGCTCTCCAGCAGCCTTGATGTCGATGTTGTCGTATCCGCTGCCGATGCGTATAATGATGCGCAGGGCTTTAAACTTCTCCAGGTCCTCTCTGGTGAGGGTGATAGTGTGGTACATCATGGCTCCCACTGCTTCGTTGAGCACCTGTAGAAACACATGCACAGTGTATTTGTTATGCTATTTATTAATGTGCCTTCCTTTTGTTGATCTTTTTTTCGTGCATTCATTCATGTGGTCAATGCATACAACGTGGCCGTTGGTCCATTTGAGTTCGTCAGAACTCGTGACAAATCACAAGATCGCATTCCTTCCAGAGGAGCCGTGAAAATCACGTCTGCCGGGACTCCGGACACATTTCACAGCGAGGGGAACTACAGACGTCACATGGCCCCCCAGCAGCACTGACACACTGTCCTTTCACAGACCTGCGCCGAAGTGGAACAAGTCATTAAATTGTCTCCAAGGGGCTTTCGGTTCCGCATGGTCATCACAATTACACTCGGAGCCTGAGGGTGTTTATGGACAAAGGATCTGGGCAATTGTCTGGAGAGAGAGAGAGGTCAAGGCAGCTGGCTGATTGCAGGATAAACCTTAAGAGATGATAGCATGTGACGGGTCAGAAAACCTTTTGACCATTTACATCTGGTGATAAAATGTTTCACCTCTCCACAATGATTTCATATGGCAGTGCTGCTTTGCAGATCTTAGTGTTACACTGTGTTTCTGTGTTAAACACGGTAAATGCGGCAATTTGGTACCTTTTCTGTTGCACAAACTATCCTTAATCAATGAGAGGGTCTGTGATATATACATGGACTACATTTATCTTAAGTCATGTAGTCCACAAAAAAAACAACCACATGTCACAGTTTAGGAATTACGTGACACAATTTACACTCATGCGGAGATCAAATCACTTGTTCCTCACCACATGACCTGAGCAAATGTCAGGATTAAAAAGAGTCTCAATCAGTCCTGATCTCAGGAGTGTGTCACAGTGAAGCGCTGCTCCTCTGCTACCCGACATGGACAAGGTGACCCAACCTCTGATTCATTCCGATGTGGATTTAAAATATCGCCCTCAATATCAGCCACAGCCTCTTCCAGCGCCTAAATAACAGCTCTGCAATTACCTCCAGCCAAACTGCATTAGCGTTGACGTGATTAGCAGATTAGCTCTGAATTTCCATACTGCTTTTATTAGAGCAGCGTAGACAGGCCTTCCAAATACTAGTTCAAGGTTGAAACACTCTTCTTCTTCTCTCCCTAGTGTTGTGTTTGGGGAGTCGTTTTAGGGGAAATCCACTCTGAATGTAGTTTACTTTAATGGAAACTCAGACCCAATCCATATCCCACTTCTCCACTGTAACCAAATCCTTATTGCCTTTAACGGCTATCATTTCTAAAGGAAGCCTGCGCTTTTTTTCTGACACGGCAGCAACGAGTCCTTCCCCCCCATTTGGCCATGAGAGACAGCAGTATACTGTTGCAAAGGAGTTTCGATTTGGTGATAAGTGTACTGTACAGTTTGTGTGTGTGTGCAAGTGTGTTTCACTCTGCGGCTTACTGGGGAGGCATTTTATGTCTATGAAGTCATCCCACTGGTGAGCGGTGGGGATGAGAACAGAACAGATAGTCTCCACCCGGCAGAGGAAGTTGAAAATGTTGCTTTTTTAGCTTTTGGCACTTCTTAAAGGGCGACATGGCTCTGATCAAAAAGACTGCAGAACAACATCCTGCAGTAAAGTGGAGTATGTTATTAAGTTATTAAGCTATGATCCTTTATTGATTGACTGCACCTTTTAAAAGCACTTCAGCAGTAAAGCAGAGATGTGAGTAAAAGGGAGATGACCGTTTAAAAAAGATGTTCTTTGTGTGTATAAGGCTAACATAGCAATATGTATACGTATATATATATATATATATACACACACACACACATATATACATATAATATGACAGGCAAGCTGTTTCCCTTTTGACATTGTATCGACTTACCTACGTAACCAGTCATTAATCTTAACACCACAATTGGATGAGCGGTCAGGCAGCGTACGATGTGGCCGATGTTGACTCTATGCCATACGTCATCCAGCTTTGACACGTGACTGTGAGACACGACAACTGTGAGAATGTTGGATGCTGGAGCGCAGGTGCTGCGTGCGGGATTTGGTCGCACTCAAGTGGTTTCGTAACTGGATCTTGATCAGTATTCGACATGTTTCATCATGCCCAAATCACCTGAGAAATAAGGGATTACTGGGTAGAGGACCCGACATAACCCCGGGCCCTTTTCTTATTCCACCCGTGTCAAGTCTGTCCCATGAGTTTCTGGTGTGGATGGAGCAGAGCGTGGCAGCTGGTGTCTGGCCTCGAAAACATCACACTGAAACTCCCTGAATTATCAGCGCTGCATCTCGGCATCCGTGCCGCAGTAAGAAGAGATTGGACATTTTCAATCTACACCAGCCCTCTGGGTATCTAGACTGCAAGTTATTACTGGGAACTGCTGAATATGCTGGCGAGGTGAACATTACAATCATGTTTTTCCTGATAAGGCAGTGTTAAAACAAACAAAAAGCTACCCGCTACCCGCCCCCCCCCCCTTCTCCTCACCGCCCAAGGTCTTTGATTGAATTGATCTCTATGCAAATGCGTTGTTTTTAATATGTCCCATTTTCATAAAAACAGCGAGAGGAAAGCTGTAGCGACTCTCACTCTGAGATGCAGATGGAGAGATAGCGGTTCGGTGATACCCATCTCCATGGCCATATATTGTTTTGCAGCCACTGCGCTGCATAAAAAGCAATAAAGAGCCTCTACAAGCCAATGTAATTACACTGCATTCCCGCCGTACAAGACTCTCCATTAGAACAATGGCACTGATATAGGCGTCGCGCTGTGCACCAAAAAAGTGACATAAAATCATAATGAAGCCACTATATTCTAACTGGCAAGTGTGTGTGGGGCCAATATAACGCGCTCCACATATCAGAGCAGTGACAGAAAAAGAAAGAGGCATGCGTGAGAGGCTCCATCTCGCCATCAACCTTCTGCTGCTCCGGTGTGGAGCACAGTGAAAGTAATGAGCAGTGTGTGTGTGTGTGTGTGTTCTCTACCTTCTCATGTATCTCCTGCGTGGACTGAGCATCGCAGAAGGCGACAGTCGCCAAGTCTTTCAGGATGGGCATCTCCACGGTGCAGTCGCGCCCGTCCAGCAGCGCCACCAAGGGGCGCGGATGCATTGGCCCGTTCATGATTTGAGGCCGAATACCTGGAGACGGATGGAGAAGAGAAGGACGATCATTTTAGGTACAGGATAATAAAGAAATGGTCCCTAACCAAAGCAGCTGTGTGAAAAAACACTAAATAAAACACTACTGTTGTTTGTTCAAATAGGATTTTTTATTGTATTGGGGTGGTTATCCCAAAACAATCTGCATGGCTAGACACGATGAAATATATTCTTGTTTTATCATTTTGGTGAACGCTCCCTTTTGCTTATTTCTTTCTTTTCTTGACATGATATAGCTACGTTGTGACAGATAATCGTTAAGGGTAATAATAAAAAAAGGACAAGCACACGTGTGAAACGCCCACCGTGCAAAGTCAAATTATTAAGACTCAATTCAGCAAGTGACACTCTCCTGCCAGCTGGAGTCAACTGTTTCCATCACTGTTTTCTTGGAAAATAAAAGACTCGGATGATAATAACCGTGTGTGTGCACACGCACACGTGCTGATTAGGATACAGCAGGAAGCAGTGCTTCTCCAAACTACCAAGCGTTGCTCAATAAATCAATGCGCCTACTCGGGACTGGATTAGACCACAGCCTCACTTACAGTAATCCTCTCGGTCTCATAGCTCCCAAACAGATCAGACACATAGAAACCTGTTTGCATGTTCTCTCTTACACACACACACACACACACACACATATATCATACCAACAGGAAGATATCCCCTAGTGTGTACGTATGACAGCTGCACACTAACACACACACACACACACACACACACACACACGCTCTTCTCATTTCTCAGTTCAAGGGAGAGGATCCTACATTTGCCTCGTTGTGAGTGGAACCAGTAGCTGTGGAATAGAAGAAGATAAAAAAAGAGAAATATTGCTCGCTGCACCTTTAGAAATGAGCTTCACTGCTGCTCTGCATCATAAGATTCATGTATCATTGAAATGGAGAGCGTTAGAGGAAAAAAACGCTACAAGCCTGAAACAAACCCTCACGCCAACTCACATCTGCACTTCAGCGCACTTGACAAAAAGTGTGTGTTGCAGTTCTTGTCTCCTTCCCACTCGCCACTTTTCTCACTCAGAGCGAAGAGAGACGAGCTCCCCAGCGGGCCGACCTTCTCACACGTCCCCACCGGAGAAGACGTGTCGCTCTGAGAACACAGACAATTACGAGCCCATGCTTCACACAATGTTAACAAGAGCGCAGTATCAATATTCATGCTGCAACCCTGCGGATGGATGGACCCGAGAAGGAAAACTGTTCCCCGCTGAGTACCAGCGCTCCAACACTGCACAGGTCATGATCTCCACTCTCAGTCTTTACGTCCAAGCTGACACAAACAGGCCACTCGGGAAGAGACCTAAACCAGCACGATCCCCTTCTGGGTGTTTCCTTCGGAGTGATTTCCTGACATCACTTGCTTATCTCTAGTTGGCTGCTAAATTCAGCATCTGGGGTAAGTGTGACCTCACTCACTGTGCACGTGAGAGCAGGTGTGCGCATCTGTCTGCTCTTTAAGTGATCCCGAAGATTACGATGACGTCGGACTCCGGGGTCGAGATAAGGAGAAAGGGTGGAGGAAGGGGGAAAGGAGAGGAGAGGTGGAGGCTCATTAGGGACATGCTCTGTAGGATTACTGCAGCAGATTAAGGTGAGATTAGGAGATTTAAGACCGAGAAAGTTGTGTGTGGCCGTTGCACAACTAGGCTGAAAGGCACAGTGTGTGGGGGGAGGGAAGAAAAACAGCAAGGCGGAGAAGAGTGAAATTGAAATGTAAAACAAGCGTGCATGAAAATAAAGTAAACACTGCCCATTTGCCTAAAGAGCACACAGGAGACACATCGGAGAAGAAGAAGAAGAAGAAGAAGAGTATGGAAGGAGAGAGAGTGGAAGCACATAAACGACTGAGGGGAAGCGAGCTGCCTCTCGGGGGGGGGGGGGGGGGGGG